CCATAATCCTTGTCGGTCTCAGCTTTGTAGCTTTTTAGGTGACTAACTTTATTCAAATAAGTGTATAACAACTTGATTCCTGCTACATAACAACCTTTTTATATGACAGAACAAAACCATGACACTGAATAATTCTACTTTGCAGAGTTGTGTTCGATCCCTGACTGATGTGCTCAAAGGACTGTTCCTGTGTAATCTTTACCTCGAGGTAATGCTTTTAGGCCCCGTCCACACGTATCCGCAAATTTTTGTATCCGCAAAAAGTTTTTTGCGTTCTTCAATTTTCTTTTTTTTGGGGGGGTTTTTTTTTTGTGGTTTTTTGTTTTTTTTTGTTTTTTTGTTTGTTTGTTGTTGTTGTTGTTGTTGTTGTTTTTGTTATAGTGTGACGTCAATTGTGTGGAAAAACGACTTCGTTTTAGCTGTTTTTTAAACAATTTAAAAGCTCTATTCTCTTAATCTTTAGTGTGTAAGGTTGTCCAAACGATTCGTCCCTGAAGCAATCAACTTCTTGTGTGGAGTCCTGTTTCTTGCATCAGACAAGTCAGCCCCAGTCCCTCAGGTTGCTCCTCCTTTTAAAGCCAACAGCAAATGGTCAGATTTACTGACACTCAAGCCAGAAGAAAAATCAAGGTACGAAGCTGTTGTACTTTGAATTTGATTTAAGAAAGGACATAGTAAATAGACCCTGGACGTTGGACGTAATTAGTCTCCATTCAGTCAGACCTCGTGTCATTCTCTTGAGTATAATTTCTTTGTTTAACGGTAATACATGAGGAGACACATGAATATGGATGCACTCAAACGAAAAAATCTTATTCCTGAGAGAATGATACGTGTTCTGAAGTGGGAAAGCATAACACGCAAGGTGAAGAGGTGTATATGGATCCCTTAATTTGCTAAGGGACCAGTCACTATTTAAGTCGGAGGGGGGGGGGTAGACGAGAAAATGGGGGGCCTCATTTTTTTTAGTGGAACATGGGCAGCCTTGAAAGGTCAAACGGAGAATTGGGAGGATTTTTTAAACGATTGAAGGGAGTACCCGAAAAACATCAATGCTATTAAGGCCGGTTTAGACGGTACGATTTTCGCCTACAACTATCGTATACAACACGCTCGCGTCTGTCGTAGGCGAGTTGTAGGCTTGATTTACACGCCACGACTCGAGTTGTAGGAAGGTGCGAGCGTGTTGTATACGATAGTTGTAGGCGAAAATCGTACCGTCTAAACCGGCGTTTAGGTAGGGGCCTGGAAAAAAATTTGCATCAAAAACCAACAGCTAAACTAGAAACACTTTTCATTGATCTCAGAGATGTGGCTATCAAACCCTTCGTGCTATCTGAAGCATTGACGCCTTGTGACTCAGACCATCGTGATACTCTACCTATAAGGTTAGTTCATTGTATGTTCAGACACCTATTGAAATAAATAAAAATAAATCAGCTTTGTTTATAGGAGATAACACTTGACAGTAATTCAACTGATAAACTCGTGGCCCTTTTTATAACGTCTCTAGTTAGTTAGGGACGGGACCGCCATTAACGTGGTCATCCGTGGTCAGGCTATCCCATCTCTCTTGGGATCCCTGTGTTAAATTTTATGGCAGAAAAGAACTAGGAACGAGATAGAAAGGCCAAGAAGCAAAAAGAGCCAAGGAGATCCCTGCGGAAGATAGGCCTAACCATCTGAAGATGTAATTACAAAGGCAGCACCTTCTCCTCAGTTATTTTAAGACCCTGAGTATTGGTCCGGCCGAGGCTTGAACCACGACCTCCCGCACAACAGAACGACGCTCTTATCAACTGAGCTAACCGGGTGGCCGGTAACCGGTTAACCCAGGGGCGGATCCGGGGAGGGGGGGGGGTGAATTCGGTGACAAGTCATGCCCCTTTGAAGTTGAAAAATAATACTGAAGAATGAAGGATAAAGTAAGACCTGAAAAAGATGCTATGTGACAGTCACCCCCCTTGAAATCGGTATGGATCCGTCACTGTGACCTCTGTCAAAATCGATTTTGATTGGTTAGAGGATTTCTTGTAAAACACGTAAAACGTAAAACACCGTGACTGTCGGACAGTGAAGTGGCTTTCGCCATGAACCAATCAAAAAGACAGGCATCAAATGCACACCATCCAATCGCATTGCTGATTTCACAGCATTGAAGAGAATGTCTTTTTTTCCAGGATTGGAGCCGTTCATCTAGCGTTACATTTGACAGATCAGTTTGCACTGTTATACAAGGACTTACCGTCATTCAAGGAGATATTTGATCCAGTACTAGCACATTTACAAAGGTAACAACCATTCCTTCATTGATTTTCTCCCTCGACCCAATAGAGCGTTTTCACTATCAGAGTACGAGGAAAATGGATTTCGATAGTTGGCATATGAAAATACATTTTCTATCCTCCGGGAATTAAACTCTATTTTTCTGCAAAAACTGTGCAGAAGGTTTCTATTGTTTGGTAAACCAATATGGCTGCCTTGTCACGTGAGTGAACAATTAAGAAGTGTATATTAAGAGATCATTTAAAAATGCATTAATTTCTCTTTTTTTTTTTTTTTTTTCCAGGATACCTATTCAGTCATACCCTCAACCCGTAAAGGTAAGATAGAAATGAATGTACAAAATCTGTAATGCAAGCACAATGCTCCTGGCATGCCCAAACTGTATGCTTTTTACAAGCCACGATAGCTCTCAGAGCTAGTAGCAGTACCCTGAAATCCTAACAGATACAATAAAAACCCGCGTGTAAGAACCTAGTGGTTTAAGGTGGCTGACTTCTTTGGTAAATCATAAACAGAAAATTGAAAATCAAAACTTTCTTAAACTGAAATTTAATACTGATTTCAAAAATGCAAAGAAAAATGGCGTGTCCCAAGCTTATTTTTGAGATAATCACTCCAAAACGACATACGTTTGTACAATTTTGGAAGAAAATAGAGAAAATCAAGCATAAAAGTCATAAAACCGAAACTAAGGAAGAAACAAGAGTAATTTTCTCCGAACACGTAACTTACACTGTCAGCCACCTTAAGAACCCGCTTGCAGAAATTTGCCATTTTAATACTCATTCCTCCGTGCGCGATCCACAGGGTTACCACGTGTCGTAACGTGTGCGCGCTTTATGTCAGCTCCTTATGTTTCCCACACGATTATACGAAAACCGCTCCATGCATGGATTTATTTTCGTCATTTATATCAATGCTATTTATTAATCATTCCGAGTTTTAGGAAAAATCTGGGTCGAATTGGAATAGACCCTTTTCGAGTTCCACATTACCGCTGTGTTTATTGATTACAGGCTCATTTGCTCAGGCTAAGCCTCGAATCAGTGTCTAATTACTTTCAAATACCAACGGTAAAGTAAAGAATGCACAACTTCAACAATACAAACACTTTGAAACTTGACGGACCTTGACTGGAACACGTGAATATTCTGCACAAAATCGAGGCTAAGCCTGAGTAAATGAGTCTGTAATCAAGAAACACAGCGGTAATTTGGAATTCGAAAGGGGTCTATCTCAATTCGACCCAGTTTTCCAAGATGGTGCCTATATTTAGTCCCCTATAGAACAGTCCCACAATGCACTGCAATTTCAACTCGACCCAGTGTTTCCCTCAACCTCGGAATGGCTAATTTATCTGTACTATTTTTAGGACCTTCAGTCCTCACTTCGTCAAAGTCTTACGACATGTTCCGATCAGCCTCGTAATCACTTAACATTACACGCAAGAAGACCAGAACCTTTGAAGGCGTTCACACCGAAGTTCCAAGAACAGTATGTAGCTAACTTTAACTTGTCTATCTGTCTGTTTGTCTATCTTTTTGTCTGTCTGTATGTATGTCTGTATACCATACACTTATTTCAATAAAGTTAGTCACCTGAAAAGCTACAAAGGCGAGAGCGACAAGGATTATGGGTAGATACATTTTACATGTTTCAACCGCTTGATAACTGTTGATGGACTTGAGTTCTTCTACCAGTTACAAGTTAACTTCCTCTGAGCATCCTCAACTGCTGCAGTTTGTGTCAAAACCTTTGTTGAATATGAAATATTTCCCATGATTCTCAGCGATCACAGCTTTCTAGGTTTTTGGTGACTAACTTTATTGAAATAAGTGTATACATGTAGTCACCACAGAGAATGGTTTCAACAGAGCATTTTAGCGTAAACCTTCTAAACCTTCCATCCAAAAGAAGTTGGAAATGAGAAGCAATTTCATACAAGCTCAAGTGTACTGCATACCATTTATCTTTTTATATTCTCTTCCCATTCATTCCTCTTACTTTCCCGTTCATATGTAGTTATGAAATCAAGTCCAAGAAAGCCAAAGTAGGCAACAAGAAAACAAATGAAGTACAAAAACTCAAATATAAACTAAAAAGAGAATTTAAGGTGAGTATTGCAGAAGACAAGATTAAAGTTGTAAGTGCGTCTCTTCGAGGTCTTACTATTTCTCAGATAAGTACACTCAATAGACCCCTTCACGGTTCCCTGCGCCATCTTGAAAGGTAGCCGGGCCTTTGCAACGAAGCGAGACGAACGGTGAGCTTGCAATGATAGAGACATGCGAATAATTGTCCAAGGTGTTAAAAAAGGTATCTGTCATTGCAAGCTCACCGTTCGTCTCGCTTCGATGCAAAGGCATGGCTACCTTTCAAGATGGCGCAGGGAAGCGTGAAGGGGACTATTAAAGAATCGTCGTCGGCTTCAGAAACATAGAACATAGAAGCTGAGACCGAAATGGCACATGGGAAGTACGTTAATTAGATTCATGCTGTGACCGGCGACCCGTGGCATCATCCACTGTTTTTAATACGCGTTTGGCATCCTAAACCGACTGCATGGATGGCGCAAATGAATAAATTATAATATGATTATGTCATTTCCCATGTGCCATTTCGGTCTCAGCTCCTATGTTCTATGCTTCTGAGTGTATACATACCCAATTGATGGGTTGCAAGCATTCCCAGGAGAGTCAAAAGATAAAAACATGACGGCCATCTTGGTGCTGTTAACAATGGATGCTAATAAGAAATCTTTTGTTAAATGGCACCAACGCTCCCCCGAGAGGCCGCGATGACGTAACGTGCAATCGAAAGATGTTATATATTGCCACTGAAAAAGATTTAGATTCTTTTGTTTTCGCCAACCATGTACTACAATTTGTACATAATGATGGCATACATCGTTTTCGAATTAGTCAAATGCCGCTGTGTTCCTTAATGACAGACTCATTTGCACAGGGTTAGCCTCGTATCAGTGTCTAAATATTCACAAATACCAACAGTAAAGTAAAGAATGCACAACTTCAACAATGCAAACACTTTAAAATTCTACAGACCTTCGCTGGATGCATGAATATTCAAAGTAATTCCATACGATATCGAGGCCAGCTCTGCAGAACAGAGATTCAAAATTGGATTAACCCCCTCAATACGTGAGGAATGAATGAAGCTAGATTTATAACTTATTGATGTAAATATGTATCACGTATATCATAATAGGATTAGTAACGCAATATATTGAAATTTTATATAAACATTTATATATACAGAATATATAAGCCCCTTAACTAATCCCCAACATACTTTTTCTAAATTCAGGGTGCTGTGAGAGAGGTTCGTAAAGATAGTCAATTCCTGTCCAGGCAGAAACTACAAGAACAACTTGAAAGGTAATCTTTATACGCGGTTTGGCGCGTTCATTTCATGCGCAACTTTTTTAGATTTTTATTGTACTCTTTTGGCCACAAAAGAGGGATTCCAGATTGAAGTTGATGTCATAAACCATTAGCTTCTGTTGGCGTCTGTACACCGAATCGAAATATGGCCACCAATTTGAAAAGCTATTGTTCTGCACTGACTTCTCTTACATGTGAAAATTCTTTTTCCACGTGAACACGAGGAGAGTGCAGAACAATATTTATTCAAATTGGTCGCCATATTTTGATTCGGTATATAGATACATGAATACAGCACACTTTTTACGAGCCAATTACCCTTGCAACCTGACTCATTGCAGATGGCTAGGAGTTATAATTTTGTGGAACAAAGGATCTTTAAATGACGTTACTTTTGTTATTTATCGTAGGGATGCAGAGCGCATGCGTAAAGTCAAAGAAATCGAACACATGTTGGGAAATGAACAAGCAGAAGTGAACGTGATGAATAGAAAGAAAAGAAAACTGAAAAGATGATGGAAAATGAGATCTTTTTATTGAAGGATCAACGCCGAAAATGGGAAATAGTTTTACTGGACAGGGTTTTCAATAAATAATACACCTTATTTGTTGTGTGACAATGTTTTCCCAATTCAGCGTGACAAGCCTCCAGAGGATTCATTTTCTTTTGTTTTTTCTTTTCGATCAATTCTTGAGTATACCAAAGGATACGAAAGGAATAACGATGATATCCCGACGACTTTCAAAACGATTCCCCATTTTCCATACATCGGTTCACTGGTCAAACACAAAGCATTCAGTCGAGGTTGCAAGGCTCAAATTTGAATAATCCTTTGAAAGTACCTTGGTGCCTCGCTTGAGCGCTATGTGTTTGACCAGTGAACCAATGTATGGAAAATGGTGAATAGCTGTTCATTCCCCTAGAGGTTTGTCACGTTCAATTAGGGAAACATTGTCACACCACGAGTAAGGTCTATTGATCACTAACTTAAAGTTCAAGCCGGAAGCCTTAGGCCCCGTCTACACGTATCCGGAAATTTTTTTCGCGGATACGAAAATGTTTGCGTTCACACGCAGCGTATTCGAATCGTTTTCAAATCGTTTTCACTGTCCACACGTATCCGGAAATTTCTTGATCCGCTGATGCACGCTAGTGCCTAGTCCCTTTGACGGATAGTTTTTCTTATCGAGCATGCGTAAAATCGTGTTTACGTCAGCGTATTCGAAAATTTGCGGATACGACCGTCCACACGTATCCGTATTCGGAGCGTATTAAAAAATTTCCACTCTGGAGACCGTTTTTGAAAATTTCCGGATACGGATACCTAAATAATGTAAACGGGGCCTTAGTTTTTAAGATTAAAATATGGAGAACTCGTTCCAAAGAAAATTACGATTTATAATTACTCCTCCTGGGGGGAGGGGGGGTAGGGTTTTCGAAAATAAAACCCGTTTGCCAAATAAAGTTTCTTTCATCCTTGCAAGGGCGAATCCAGGGGGGGTATGGCTAAGGTTACTAGTCACATATTCCTCCATTGAAGTCGAAAAACAAGGGTGATGCAGAACTCAAGACTTAAAATGGACGCTATGTGACAGTCACCCCCCTTGTAATCGTTCTGGATTTACCAATACGTGGATTAATATTACCATGATTATTTATAATGACACTCAGTGAAAATAATGCAGTTTTATTTACGAAAAGCGTGCTACAAAAACAAGAGGTTTTTAATTTGTAAATACATCTCCATGTCGTGGATGGAAAAGTTTAAGAGAGGTAATATTAGGGGTATAATGAGAATGAGATAATCTCGTTTGATAGGCCTGTAGTTCATGTTATCCTGAGTGTCTTTCTGATCTTCGAGGAATGTTTCTTCGTCGACCTTTGGATGCCCAAGCTCTTGGCTCAACTCGACGAGTATTCAAAGCAGTATTTACTGGCGAGTTTCTGACAGAAGTGAAAGGGCCCGAGCCTCCTCTAACAACAGCCTCTGCATAAGTCTTTCTTGGCATACATTCCTTCACAACTTTCTGCTCACTTTCTTTTTCTGGTTTTACTTGGTATAATTTCTCTGCTGACTTCTCTTTTGTGTTGTTTCTTTGTTTTCTAGGTCTTGACTCGGATGTTATTCGCCAGTTTGATGCAGAAGACGGAACTTTAGTTTGTCTATCATTTCTCCAGTTGTAAAGCATCTCTTCATTAGGAGAGTCTCTAGTATTCTCCTTGTGTTTACGCCAACTTAATGGCTGAGTCGTTCTAGAAGAAGACCGTGCAGTATAATCGTGTTGTCGCCAGTTGCTAGACATATCTCCTTTAGACGATGAACTTCGCCAGCTTAAAGAAGACGAAGAAGATTCAGAACTTTGACACTCCTTTTGGCGCCAGCTTAAATACATATGACCTTTGGATGATTCGGCAGATTCTTTCGATTGGTTACGCCAGGACAAACCCAACTCCTCTCTGCAGGATGGACCTCCAGTTCGTTTGGAATTAGAATAACGAGAATTCTTTTTTGGCTTGTGATAAGAACGACTAGTTGATGTCATGTGATCTTTCTTTTGGTTGTTTTCTCTCGATTTTCTGTCTGGTTGACTATCATCTTAAAAAATAAAACAGAAGCATTCAATATTCGTTCTAGAAATACATGTTCTAGCATCAGTAACGGCCACCAGTAACCCAGCAAATTGTCTTACCTTTGAAAGTTGATCTTCCTTTGCTGGGCAGGAGTCTAGGTGTAGATAAGCCACTGGACTGCAACTGCGCGTCCCTTGTGGATGTGTTAGGAATTACATCTTTACTCCATGAAGTAATTTTGGCAACTTTGCCATCTTGAAGTCGTTTCTTTTGCAATGGAACCAGATTGAAAGTCTTTGGGTCGTCTGTCTTCTGTAGGACATGAGTGTCCCATATCTCTTTACGATAACAACTCGAAGTACTGACGTCATGGGACTTTGCTTCACCAACCTCCAAAGATGCTTCTGTAACTTGCAGCTGAGTGGACGGCTTGCCCTCAAGCTGTTTCAGTGGAACCACATAGGTATTGGGCTTGTCGGTCTTCTGCAAGACATGAGTCTCCAATCTTCGTATTGGACAGCATTGAGAGGCAACAGTTTCAGTCCTCACTGGCATCTGAACTTTGCTCTCAAGCTGTTTCAGTGGAACCACGTTATAAGTCTTTGGCTTGTCTGTCTTCTGCAAGACATGAGTCTCCAATCTTCGAACTGGACAGCATTTAGAAGCAACAGTTTTAGTCGTGCAACCATCTTCCATATTCGATTTGTCATCCTTTTGAATCGCTACTTTCTGTTCCACAATGCAGTCATTGTTTTCTTCCTCTGTAATGTCATTTTCCAACTTCAGCTCCTCGTCTCTGATATCACTAGTTGTCGTCTCTTTATAGTCACCTTTTTCGTCTCTTACAACCACCACCACCTTGTCATCAAGTTCTTTCTGTATTCTAACACCAGCATCTTCCTGCCTTGCAGTCTTCTCAACATCTTCCTTACACACTTCTTTAAACTCGTCTCGTTGCGATGTTGTTGAGGTTGTTTTCCAGGTAAAGAAAGAACACAACCATCGCCACAGTCGTGTAAACAGACCAACGTCATCAACAGTTTGGGGACTTTCTGCCGTCCACTCGTCATACAAATCGCCCCTGATCTTTGGTCTTCTCTTTCTTCTGCCTCGCACACCACTCCTCTTTCTTCTCCTGATCACTTTTACTTTGTAGTCAAACTTCTGATATTCTTGTCCAGGGATGAAGGGAACAGACCTTGGTTCAGCTTGACTCTCCTGCCCTTGAATGAAGGGATTCTCTGTAACTAGACAAGAAAAGAGAACCCATCAAATGGTATTCCTTTTAAACTTATAACAAAATTCAGTGCAACCAAAACATGATATTGTTTCTTGATCCTATACAAGACTTTATGCGTGGAGCTTGCTAAAATGCGACGCATTCGCCTAACAGGGACGTACATGCACTAGTAGGAAATAAATAAGCTACCCGTTAGTGACGACAAAGTTAATAGAGCGGAATGGTTTGGAAAATCCATAGAATACAGCTGTTGTTTGGTGAGCGATGTTGAACCATACCATCATGTTATAACATGACCTTGCACAATGAACCAAAGCAAGTATGGCTGAAAATACTGGTTTCCTTATTATTTTCACGAAAACATTTTTGAAAGTGGAAACTTTCTTTCGATGACCACAAACTAAGCGGATATATATTTACGCGCAGATACAGTTTAGTTACTTAATGATCGATAATGAGATAGAATTAAAATGGGCGATTTCCTTTCTAATAATCAATTAGGATTAAATAAAAAATAACTTTCTCAAGACGTTTGTTTAGGAAAGAAACTTCTATTTTCCCGAGGAATACTATGAACAAACGGAGCAGCTTTTCCTTCTCTGTGCACGGTCAACGTCATGTAACAATGAATAAAGTCGAACAAAAACCTAGAACAGTAGATTTCCCAACGATTCGGCTTCATTAACTATGGTGAAGATTGATCAAATCGTATAATAGGACCTTGCTGCATATGAAGCTAGCACCTCTTACATTTACCTAAAGATTTCTGCAGTTATTGTCTGTAGTAATTATGCTAGACAATATGTAATTGTTTGATATAGAGAAAGTACTCTTGTGATCAGTTCTTTTTACCCTTACAGTTTCATTATTAACTCACGCCCTTGGCCTGTGACCAAGTGCATTGCAGTTTCTCTATCTTCTTATTCTTACCTTTAGGCTTGTCTTCAGCCTTTGGGAAAAGCTGACCAGATGTCAGCAGAAGCAGAAAGAAAAATCCATTGCACATACACCAGGACTCGAAATAAGACTCTTCGTTACTTCTCTTCTGTTGCTTTACTCGAACAACCCTTGTTGTCAACTGCAAAGGAAAACAAACCATCTCAATTTTATCATTTCATTACTCCCCACTACACTTGTCACAAATGTAAGTCCTATCTTTCACAAAATATTCCTTCTTTAAATCATATATTTTCACGATATGTTCCTTTTCTGTTTTACTTGTTTTACTTGTTGTGCCTCCCATTTTTCATTAACCAAAAAATATGGATGAAATCCCTCTTCCAAATCGCATTTAGTCATATTATCTGAACCCTTGTCTTTTCATTTCCCACTTTCACGTTATTTTTTCTTCCGTAATCTTTTCTATTCCTCGCTTTTATATCGTTTTTCTCTTCCAGTTTTCACTAAAAAATAGTATATGATTGAAAGTTCTCATCCAACATTCCAGCGATGCAAAGCGCAAGACAAATTACATTCCGAACCACGCCTTTCATTTTCTGATCTCTTTTCTTCACAATTCAACTCCTTGTCTATTATCCTTACCATGGCTCGTTCTGGTGACTAACGCGAGTTTTTCCGATTGTTTTGTTTTAAATTTTCCATCTCGATATGCACTGAAATAACAGATTCTACAAGAACTTTGTAGACTCGCAGCTCAATTCATTAAAAAATAATGAGAATGATCAAGAAAGCTTATTATTGACGTCATAATGTCAGTTAGACATACGTCATCAGTGACGTAACTGAAGTGCAAATTCGTCGCGCGCAAATATGTGCTCAGATGCTGACCATAAACAAATGCGGGCTCCAGCCGACGTGCTTAGCCAGAAGTCCAAGAAATCCTGGTCTCAAAAAATGAATTATGCCAGAGCCCTCGTCCTTCGTCCAAGGCCAGAAGAAACGTAGGCTCTGGGTACGAGATTGTTTACAAAATTGTTGCTTGGGCATTCTTCAAGTTTCAGTTGCAAAGCAATGACGAAGGTGCACTGATTTCGACCAATGGCGTCAGCACTGCATTTACTGCGGTTCTACCCTCGTAGAACAATCCGACGATAATTCTGAATATATTATCGTGAGGGTTGATAAACAAAATCACGAAGCTATACAAATAAAACCAACAAACGATGGTGCATAAAGGAAGGGAATAACTACAGCCTTCTCTTCCTATGACTGCGGACACGCGAATCTCAAAATAGTAAACTTTACACCAAAAAAAAAAAGCATAAGATACGATTTTCCTGCTTCCGCGCTCAGTAGCGCGAGTCATAGTCACGTAAGCAAACGAAAATAGAGATCTCTAGCAAGACGTTCTTACTAGCCCCACAAAATTCAAACTGCATATCGACGTCAGGCGTTTTCCTTCAAACTTTCGACATTTATCAAGGCGTCATAACGAAGTTGTCGATGGAAGAGTCCATATTAAATTGCATTGGTGCCGAGCGTTTCTCCGTGTTTGCGGACGTTTTTCGGGACCTGATTCACAAATAGGAATCGGGTTCGAGTCCCGCCGGGCCGGTTGTATATGAGTAGAGTTTTTTATCGTGTTGTTCTCTCCTGTGCTTCAAAGGGTTTCCTTCGGTTTCTCCACTCTTTTTTTTTTTTTTTTTTTTTTTTTTTTTTTTTTTTTTTTTTTTTTTTTTTTTTCTCCGTAAAAATTAAATCAACTTCTTGATTCTAATTCCAATTCGATCTCGTTATTAGGAGATAGTTCTCGATAGAGTAAACCTCTTATATCTCCCTCCGCACTACAATGCCAATAAATTGGTAATACTACAAGYACACTTTGCAATTTTCAGCGGTCACTGTTCAGATCATTCATGAGAACATCAATATTTACTAACAATAAATTGCTTTAACAAAAACATCAAACAAGCTCGACTGGCGCTGGTTTCATCACGGAGAATGGTTCATAATGTATATAAAGCTGCATAAAAAATGTCGAAGTCTTTTCTTTAAATATTTTTGATGTTGTTAACTCAGAGATTTATCACCTATTTACAGCGCTAAACATAACAGAACAGGATTTTGCTTGCCTGGTTACCATGGTGATGATTAGCTAGATATTGGTTGGTTCTAACGTTGTCCAATATGCTTATTCTACTGATGTTTATCGACAGCGGGACAAAATTATTTTTCATCCAACATCAGGAATACGCTATTTGTTTAAGATTTGTGATCTACTGTCTCATAAACGCGCTACAACGATATGTTAGTTTAGTAAATTTTCGGGATGAAGAAGCTGTCGAAGGGGAATTGAGAGGAATGGAAGTGAAAGATACTCGAATATTACTAAGCGTTTTTCCCTATACTAGTTTTCAGTCCTAAAGTACCAATGAGTCAACTTTACAACATTACAGTTCATAATATCACGGGAAGTGAATGACTGAATGATGCAGTAAATGTTTGTGAAAAAAGTCAACAAAATAATTGAGTCATTATTCACATCAATTAATGCCGGTGAGTCATCATTGACTTAAACGATTCTATAAGCCTGGTCAGTGATGCGTACTCTTGATCAGTAATTAGACGCTGTAATGAGCGATGCCAAACTGCTTTGCTCTTTACCGTCAACTTCATACTAAACGAGATTGGGAAAAAAACAATTATTTGAAAACTGAGAACTTATATTTAAAAGAGAAATAGGATCAATGTGTCTATCTGGGATATCGTATACGATCTCATGACATCGTACACGATCTCATATCCAACACGTTTCATCTGATCGTACACGATCAGTTTCGTTGTGTGTAAATAATCGTACACGATTCAGCTTTGATATCGTACACGATCAGTTTCGTTGGTTACATTTACAATCGTAC